ACAAATATTTATTGAGGGTCTATAATATGCCATATGGAGCCCTGGTGACGCAGTGGTTAAGAGCTACAGCTGCTAATCAAAAGGTCAGCAATTCGAATCCACCAGCTGCTCCCCGGAAATGCTATGGGACAGTTCTACTCTGTCCTGTAGGGTCACTATGAGTCAGAATTGACTTGATGGCAACAGGCTTTTTTTTGGTATAGTATGCCATACTCTATGCTCAGTAACAGATAAATCAGAGGACAGATGGACCACATGATTGTCAACTCAATGAAAAATATTGTTTAGTCCTTTGTAATCACTGAGACCAATGGTTCACAAACTGACTGCTCAGCAGAATTACTTAGGGAGCTTAAAAAATACGATGCCTTGCCACACAAAAACTTGTACATGAATGTTCAAAGCAGTATTATTCATAATAGCCAAAAAGTGGAAACAAACCAAATGTCCATCAGCTGACGAATGAATTAAAAAAAATGTAGTATATACATATAATAGTATTTGGTACATACCATATTGTATGTGGTCTATACATACAATCTTTTTTCAGCAATAAAAAGGAATAAAATCCTGATACATGCTACAACATGGGTGAACCTTGAAAATATTATGCTAAGTGAAAAAAGCCAGACACAAAAGACTCTATTTTGCATGGTTCCATTCATATGAAATGTTTAAACCAAAACAAACAAAAAAACCCATTGCCATTGAGTCAATTCCGACTCATAGTGACTTTACAGGACAGAGTAGAACTGCTCCATAGGGTTTCCAAGGAGCTGCTAGTGGATTCCAACTAATGACCTTTTTGGTTAGCAGCTGAGCTCTTAACCACTGTGCCATCAGGGCTCCACAAAATGTCCAGAATAGGCAAATCTATAGAGACAGAAACTAGATAAGTGATTACCTAGGGCTGGGGGCTTTCGGGAGGAATAAGAAGTGACTGCTAGTAGGTGGTTGTTGTTAGGCGTCTTCAAGTGGATTCCAACTCATGGTAACCCCATGTGTGTCAGAGTAGAACTGTGCTCCATAGAGATTTCAAGGCTGTGACCTTTCAGAAGCAGATCAGCAGGCCTGTCTTCTGAGGAGACTCTAGGTGGGTTCAAACCACCAACCTTTCAGCTGTGACAATATTTAATTTTTCAAATTTAATGACTTTATTCCTTCTGTGCTCTAGTTTCTAAAAGCTTCATAATTCTGTTTCTTATCAAATACTCTTATGTTCGTGGTGATAAACTGGTGGCTTTATACAATTATTTTAGTTAAATATGAAAAGGTAGATTCCTGCCAGACATTTTACCCAGTGTCAAATTGTCTGAAATGAAATAAAAATATGGATTAAATTTTTGTATCACTCTTTAAAAGTTCACTTTTGGCTTCAAAAGAGTTTATGCTTTTAAAAGTTAGGAAGATAGGAACCTCAAGAAAGCTTTCTACACAAAAGACTTCTCTGTCTCCAATGGCAATATTTCAAAGGGATGAAAAATGTTCTAAAATTGATTATGGTGATAGCTGTACAACTCTGTGAACATACTAAAAACAACTGAATGTATACTTTAAATGGGTGAATTGTATGGTAAATGAACTATACTTCAATAAAACTGTTAGAAAATTTTATGCTTAGGTCTCATTCCTGAAGACTGTAATTCAATTGGTTTAGGTGGTGCCTGGGAATCATGATTCTAATACTAAACATTAAAGAACCACTGGGATAGACGAACCCGAATTGCTTAGGTTCTTATATTTTTTGTTTCCTTTTAAATTTTTTCTTAAATTATAAAATTTAATTTTTTCTCTTTTTAAAATAAATTATGGTCCTATGATTTTTAAGTACTCTTATAATATTACACTATTATGTTCGAAGACATTTAAAAGCCAGTGTAGAATAGTCCACATCAATGAGAGATGAAGGATCAGGGAAGCTGAAGTTGAAACTCGTTCAAAGGTGTTTTGGTTTTTATTCAAGGTTGGATTTATTAAACTGAATGGTCTATATTTAGAAGGTATTTGAGGAAATTGGTGGTTGTTAATGCAGAATCACTAACTCTTAATTTGGAACTTTGTGAATAAAAAGAGACAAGTCACTTAAAGAAATGTGTCATATTTCAAAGTTATTTCCTTGACAATGGCCATCAGTCAGCCCTGTCTTCCCTAGCTTCCGGGTGCAGTATCCAAGACATTTAACCTCCAAGCTCAGGCCCATCCACAGTGAATCGGAGAGCCCTGGTGATACACTAGCAGCCCTATACTCACCTATGAGGGTTATATCTAGCACTAGAATTCAGCCCTAAGTTTCGTATTTGGAGTATGTACCTCATCAAGCTGCAGTTTTCCTGTCCATCTCCACTGCATTTGCCCAGTCTTTGTGACTAGGATTCTGCCTGCTTTTCTTTCAACATCCCAGGAAACTGGCTGGGAATGAGCCTCACTTAGAAATGCAGCCTGGTCTTCTCCCCAACTTGGAGTGGGCTGCCCTCGCCCAAGCCGGCCGGCCGGCTGGCTGGCCGGCCTCCTGCTTCATGTTGGAGAATCTACCCTGTAAAACTTCACACTGTAGTTGGCCAAATGCTGACTACATCACAGCCCGGACACACTGCTCCTGGAATCCACACCTTCCTGGATGTCGATGCTGCTCTGGACCAAGCCAGAGATGGCCCTGAATGTCCACTGAGACACTGCCATTGACTGCTGGTCCCTGCAGCTCTCCAGGCATGGGTGTGCCATTCCTGGACTCATTGCCTTTCCTCGCTGGCCTCCCAGTAGGTTATAGCAGTACTTCTGAAAAAATTTTTTTTTTAATAATACTTTATTGTGTTTAAGGTGATAGTTTACACAGCAAATTAGGTTCCCATTCAACAGTTTCTACACAAATTATTCAGTGATATTGGTTACATTTTTCACAATGTGTCATCATTCTTATTCATTACATTCTGGTTATATCATTTCCAGTACTCTAGTTTCCCTGCCCCCTTACCTTCTCATCTTTGCTTTAGAGTAATTTTTGACCATTTGGTCTCATATAGTTGATTTTTTAAAGGAGCTCATTACTCACAGTTGATATTCTTAATTTTATGAGCCAATCTGTTATTTAGCTAAAGGTTACCTCAAGGGATAGTTTTGGTTCAAGGTTTAAAGAGTATCTCAAGGCGACAGTCTTTGGTAGTCCTCTAGTCTCAACCGGACCAGTAAGTCTGGAATTTTTAAGAATTTGAATTCTGTTCTACATTTTTCTCCCATTCTATCAGGATCCATCTATATGGCCCTGATCAGAATGGTTGGTAGTGGTAGCCAGGCACTATCTAGTTCTTCTGGTCTCAGGATAGATAAGGTCGTGGTTCCTGTAGACTATTAGTCCTGTAGACTACTTTCTTCTCTGAGTTTTTGGTTTCCTTCTTTCTCTTTTGTTCCAGATAAGTAGAGACCAAAAGACGCATGTTAGATGGCCACTCTCAAGCTTTTAAGACCCCAGACACTACTCACCTCACTAGGATGTAGAACATAAACTTTATGAACTATATTATGCCAAGTGACCGAGTTGTCCCATGAGACTATGATCCTAAGCCTTCAAACTCAGAAAACCAATCCTGTGAGGTATCTGGCTATGTCTAAGAAGTATCCATAACTGTGGCCCCTAAGTGGTTTATTATATATATGGATATACATGCAAGTACACACATACCTGTATGTATATATGCCTATAGATACATCTGTGCATACATACGTACCCATATATTCATACCCATACACATATATGCCTATATACATACTTGTGTAACCACAGACATATTTTTTGGTGGTTGTTGTTGCAAAATTGTATTTGTCATATCCTTTACCAAAAAATTCCTTTTCTCTTGTGTCGCTTCTCAGTGACATCATTTACCATGGTCAAGCTGTGTGCACTTCACTCACATTTGATGCTACTTTTTCTATCACCAAAAATAACAAGTGTCTACTATCTCAAGTGTGAGCATTGGTTTCTGTATAAAAGTGCGATCACATAATATCTGTCCTTTTGTGACCGACTTATTTCACTCAGCATATTGTCCTCCAGATTCACTGACGTTATGTTTTGAGGGCTCATCATTATTCATTATGGCTGCGCAGCATTCCATTATACATATGTACCACATTTTGTTTATCCACTCATCCACTGACGGGCCTTTAGGTTGTTTCCATCTTTTTTTGCTATTGTGAATAACGCTGCAATGAATATAGGTGTGCACATGTCTGTCTGTGTCTCTTTTATTAGATCTCTAGGCTATATACCGAGGAGTGGGATTACCTTTGAAATTTTGTTAGAAAGAACATAAAACACAATCATACCATTTTATTTTTCTTTTAAAATTTAAAGAGTATATTCCAACTAAGTCTATTTTGAGAAATTTTTGAGAATTTCACCATACCTTAATATTTCTGGAACAGTGGTGAAATCAATCAAAGTACATCATACCTTAACTCCAAAAATGGTGGGAATCAGAGGACTAAAGTGAGTGACTCAAAAGTGTAGTAACCAACCACTCATCACCAACTAGTGAGACTGTACTGACTCTGGTGGCACAGTGGTTAAGTGTTCAGCTGCTAACCAAAAGATTGGCAGTTTGGAATTCACCAGCTGCTCCTTGGAAACCCTATGGGGCAGTTCTACTCTGTCCTATAGGGTCACTAGAGTCGGAATCAACTTGGCGGCAATGGGTTTTGGTTTGGTGGTACAAAGGGTTAAATGCTCAGCTGCTAAATGAAAGATTGGACTTTTGAACCCACACAGTGGCTTCGTGGGAGAGAGATCTGGCAGGTGATCTGCTTTAGTAAATATTTTAGCCTAAAATACCCTACGGGGTAGTTCTACTCTGTCACATGGGGTCGCTATGAGTCAGAATTGACTTGACAGAACCCAACAACAACAACATTAACTGTTTATTAACTGAATGAATGACAAATAATTTCATCCAACAATTTTAAACTGCTTAAAACTGTGACAATATTTAGCTTTCAAATTTCATATGGCCTTATTCCTTCTGTGCTCTAGTTTCTAAAAGCTTGATAATTCTATTTCTTATCCAAAATTCTTATGTTCATGGTGAATAAACTGGTGGTTTTATACAATTATTTTAGTTAAAATGAAAGGGTAGTTTCTTGCCAAACATATCACCCAGTTGCAAATTATCTGAACTGAAACAAATAATACAAATTAAATATTTTATATCACTCTCTAAAAGTTCATGAATTGTATTATGTCACTTTGGGCTTTACTTAGGGGTTTTGATTTTATATGAACTTTTCTGTCCATTCAATTTTCTAATTACACAGCAGATGTCTTAACATTCTAAAGAGTTTATGCCTTTAAAAGTCAGAAGACAGGAACCTGAAAAAGGCTTTCTACATAAAAGGCCTCCCAGTTTCCAATGGCAATATTCCGACAGGGATATCCCAATGGTCATAATTTTGTGGTGCTCACATGTTACACGAAGATGGGTTGTTCCTGGAGAGTTGTTTTGTGCAGGTGGTGTTTTTAATTTTCCATCTTTTTGTTCAAACACGTAGTCTTCATTTTAATCAGGAAGAGAAGTCTGTAATTTCTTCTACCGCAAACTCGTCTGTCCACTTTTGGAGGTCTTTGGGATCATTTATTGTCCATAACTTTGCAAAATGTTTTAGCCTTTTCCTGGAGAGACAATAAAATACTACTTACTTTATAAATGAAATTGCTGGGTGACAATACATCTCACTGAAAGCTATGAAAATGCTTATGACATTAGAATATCAGAGAGGACACTGTTGTCAGGACGCTCCATCAGCGTCACCCTTCTAGTGAATGGAGTTTGCAGTACCTGCTGCTAGATGCAACGGGCCAAAGTTGCTGGCCACCACGACTGCTGTCTCCAGCAGGGAGAACACTGGTTCTTCCCCCTCTAACTCATACAGAGGCTGTCTGTGCATGCGAAGACAAAAGCTCCTGCTGAGTGCTGGCAGGATGGAAAAAAAACTGATATAATCGAAAAAGCCAGTTAGTGAAAGAGTAAAATACCAGTATAACACAAACCTTCTTTTTTCTTCAGAGGAGCAATCCCGTTAAGTATTCAGGGTCTGGAGCCCAAGTATCTCAGTTTCAATTACTGCTCTGCCAATTAACAAGCTGTGTGACCCCGGGTCAGTTTCCTACCCTTGCTTGGCCTCATGTTCTCCAACTATAACATGGAATTAATAATAGTCCCAACTTTACAAGACTGTCCTAAGGATCAAGTGAGTTAGCGTTTGGAAAGCAATTATAACAGTAATAGGCACATTGTCTGGGCTGCTGCAAATGGTTGCTTAGGTCTGTTAAGGCACAGAGTAAGCATTCAATAAATGTTGGCTATTAGAACAGAAGGCACAAGATCTGATTTGGTTTCTTTGATCTGGTCAACGGAACTGATGGGAGTCGCACTTTTAGTGAAAGGTTAAAACAACAGTGTTGTGGTAAATTATCATATTTGATCTCAATATAACCGATTTCAACAATTCTCCTGTCTTTTAAGATAACTATAATTTCAAAATGTCAATAGTAATTGGAGGAGTTAAAATATTTATAAGTAATCTGAATATTATTGCTGTTGCTTTATAGGCTGTGTAACAGCAACAAGTATAAACTATTATATTTTATTGCCATCTTGCATATATATCCTTTGTAGTAAGGTTTTATTCTAGTTTCTTCAGGGAAAAAAGAGAAAATAATAATAAGACAACAACAAAAGTGGATTAAAATCTGTCTTTGGACTTTGCAGAGGAGTAAGTTTGTTTGTTTCGAGCCACGTTGGCACAACAGCTAAGCACTCAGCTGCTAACCCAAAGGTCAGTGGTTCAAATTCACCAGTCGCTCCAAATCCACCAGTCGCTCTGTAGGAGACTAGGCCTGGCGATCTGCTTCCATAAAGATTACAGCCTAGGAAACCCTACGGGGCAGTTCTACTCTGTCCTACAGGGTCGCTATGAGTCAGAATTGACTCAGCAGCAACAGGTTTTCGGTCATAATTTCTAGAACTAAATAAAATTGTTAGTATAAGCCAGGGACCACTGGTGTCAAGATTTTCCATCTGATCAACAATCTGTTCACTCATTATTACATGGTTATAACCAGGGCAGTAACGTCCTGCCCCAGGCAGGTCAGATTCTCCAGATCATGAAGGACTGTGCAGAGGTAAGATATAGTTTGTAATATAATTTTACATTTGGGAAACAAAAGGCTGTAATTTATTATTAACATGTTATTTTCCTAGGAATATCATTCTTCTGAAGTATATCTCAGGTGTATATTAGAATTAGCTTATATACCAACTACATACTGACTGGATGTCAAGAGTTAAAGGTGGAAAGCATTCACATAAACATTCCAGGTGACAAAGAGAATCCAGTTTAGAATGAAAAATTGTCCCAATCAACAAAATAAGTGACATATAGATACTATGATTACAAGGTATGTAATATTATTATTTTCATTCATGTCCTGACAGAATTCTTCATTTCTGAATGCAGTCATTGCATATCTGGATGTAATATATGACTAAAAGTACTGTTGCTGTTGTTAGGTGCCGTTGAGTCGGTTCCGACTCATAGTGACCCTATGTACAACAGAACAAAACACTGCCCGGTCCTGTGCCATCTTCACAATCGTTGTTATTTGAGCCCACTGTTGCAGCCACTGCGTCAGTCCATCTTGTTGAGAGTCATCCTCTATTTCACTGGCCCTCTACTTTACCATGCATGATATCCTTCTCCAGGGACTGATCCCTCCCGATAACATGTCCAAAGTATGTGAGACATAGTCTCACCATCCTTGCCTCTAAGGAGCATTCTGGTTGTACTTCGTCCAAGACAGATCTGTTCATTCTTTTAGCAGTCCATGGTATATTCAATATTCTTCGCCAATATCACAATTAAAAGGCATCAATTCTTCTTCAGTCTTCCTTATTCATTGTCCAGCTTTCGCACACATATGAGTACTCTGTAGGTTCTAAATACTGAGGTTTCTTTCAACAACTTTTTGTATAATTTAATGTTCAAAGCAACTATGTGTTGGCACACATTAAGAAACTAACTTATTAATTCTTTAGAGTATAAAACCAATTTAGCAATTTATCAGATAAAGATCTGAATAGGGAAGATGGATTGAATTCACATGAGCTTTACCAAGAACTGTTTTCATTTTATCACAATTAGATGTTTCAGAACATTTGCTGAGATATATCTGACATTCATTTACAGGTATATCTGATGTTCATTTACAAGACAACCCGCTTTCTGGGACCACTGGAAGATTTCATTATAAACCAAACAACAAAGCACAATCATTCTGACCTTTTCATATTTACTAATCCTTCAAGATCTTTTGATTTGTGAGCTGCTGTCTTTAAAATTTCTCCAGGAACATCTGCTAGTTTAGCCACATTGAGTCCATAACTCCTTGCTGCAATTCCTCTGGTTATTTGATAAAGAAAAGTGACAAAGGAGGGGACTTGTTCTTCTTCTTCGCCTACAAAAAAAAAAAAAAAAATCATTTAAAGTGTTCATTAACAAGAAGCTGAAAAAGTATTTTGTCTTATGGAGCTTGCTGAAAAATCTGAACTAAACTTCTATATCAAAAAGAGAAAGATTCTGATACATGGTACAATATAAAGCCTCCTTTAGAAACAGATAAGGAAATATTATATAATGCCCATTTTAGATAATAAGATTAGGAAATTCTGGTTTATTAAATATTCTGGTTAACTAAGAGTTACACATATTGAAGTAGATGCTGTTCAACACCACCCAGATCCCCCTTCAGGACTGAAGGGTTTATGCCTACAGCTGAGGACTGTGGGCTATCATTGCTGGAATGGTGAGAGCCCACAGTCCTCAGCTGTATGCCCTCTTTGGGAATTGTCTCAGCTGAAGAGAGCTGCTTCATCCAAGGTCATGTCCCCTTCTTGGGGCAGACTGCATCCAGTGACTGGTTACTATGGGGTTGGCAGGCAGCCTCTAAGATGGCCGCCAAAGACCCCACCTCCGGTATTCATTCTTTTGTGTAATCTCCTCCCCTTGAGTACAGGCTGGGCACTTGCTTCTGACAAACAGAATGAAAGTGATGGGATGTCCCCTCTAAGATTAGGTTACAAAAGACTGTGGTCTCTGTCTTGAGCACTCTCATTTCTTTGCTTGCTTGCTCTGAGGGAAGCCAACTGCCGTGTTCTGTAGACTCATCTGGAGACATTCATGTGGAAAGAAACTGGTATCTCCGGCTAACAGTCAGCAGGGCCTGAGGCAGGCTAACAGCCACATGAGTGAGCCTGGAAGAGGATATTCTGAAGCTTGGCAACAACCACGTGAATGGGTTTGGAAGTGGATCGTCCCAGTTGAGCCTGAAGTGACTGCTGCCCTGACCAGCACCTTGATTGCAGCCTGTGAGAGATCCTGAGCTAGAGGTGTCCAGCTAAGCTGCCCTGTATTCCTAACCCACAGGAACTATGAGATAATAAATGTTGTTTTAAACTGCTAGGTTTTACAGTGATTTGTTATGCAGCAATAGATAACTAGGCCCTCTCACCCCAAGTTGAAGCAACTCTAAATCCCATCCTCAGAGCTCTATGTAGGGTTGGTTGAAGCCTTGTAATGACTGCAACACAGTAGTCCAACTTCTTCCTCTGCCCAGTCCTGCCCTCAGGTGTTGACCCCGAGAGCAGTCTCTAATAAACCTCTTAAACCCTGAGAGTCTACTTCCTGAGGAACTCAGCCTGTGACACATATACAAGCATATGAATTAAGACCTTGTAAAGAATTAGAAAGGATCCCCAGTGTTGCAATGGTTAAGTGCTCAGCTACTAACTGAAAGGTCAGCAGTTAGAAACTACCAGCTGCTCCAAAGGAGAAAGACCTGGTGATCTGCTCTGGTAAAATTAAAAAAAAAAAAAAAAAACAAATCCCAAACACGTTGCCATCAAGTTGATTCTGAGTCACAGTGAAACTACAGGACAGAGTAGAACTACCCCATAGGGTTTCCAAGACTGTAATCTTTACAGAAGCAGACTGACACCTCTTTCTCCTACGGACTGGCTGGTGGGGTCAAACTGCCAACCTCTTGGTTAGCAGCTGAGCGCTTAACCACTGTGCAACCAGGGTTCCTCATCAGTAAAGATTACAGTCTAGGAAACCCTATGTAGCAGTTCTACTCTGTCCTATAGGGTCACTATGAGTTGGAATCTACTCGAGGGCACACAACAACAAAGAATTAGAATATAATGAAGTGTGATAATACTATGAAAATGCTGTATATAGTTTAATCTTTGATAAATCTAAAGCACCTCAGGCTCTTGTAGCTTTTATGTAGCTTATTATGAAATTCAATATAATTGCACTTTGTTGCAAAAATATCCAAGACGAACCAGATTTACAATGATTTCTGAGATTCTAGTAAATTTATCAAGAGTTTTTTCTTATACATTATTTCACTTGATAAATATGTGTGCTTCTGTTCTTTTATCAGCTAACAGCTAAAAAGCCAAAAGACAGAATACAACAGAGTACAAAGATAATGGAATTTTCCTTAACCTCCTTCTCTAAGAATTTAGCAACATGTAAATAATACCCTTCTAAGGTGCCAGAAGTAGGAGTTGAAGAGAATGCTGACACTCTCAGGAATACACAGAGTAAAACACTCCATTACGAAGCACTAAGAATATCTTTTGTCTTCAAATAAAACCTAAGGAACACAAAGAGCAGGTGAGGAAGTGGGTGGGAACAGAGTAGGGAAGAGGAATATAGACACCAGTGCCTGCTAACTGGATAATTTTTTGTTACTCTTTGATGCTCACAAGACCAAGAGTGAAGTAAGCAGCAGAAGGCAATCAAAAAAAGCAAACTCTTTTAATTGTTAAGACAGAAAAATGGACTTTACCACTTCAATAAGTTTTAGTCCTAGCTCATCTCCCTGCCTCTAGCCTCTCCACTATAATCTATCCACTTTGCTGGTCTCTCTAAAAAACCATCCATCCATCCATCCATCCATCCATCTACCCACCCATCCATCCATCCACCCACCCACCCATCCATCCATCCACCCACCCATCCATACAGCATTTTCTGAGAGCCTGCTAAATGCTACAAAAAATGTAACTCTTGCTTAAAAACAGGTTTATTGATAGCTTTTTCTCTTTTGAAAATATATATATGCTATTACTAAATTATATAAAATATTATATTGCCCTGAACAAGTTGTTAACATACCTCGGTACAAATTGGTGCTGAATTTGTCATCATAAGCTGGTATCCACACTAGTACTAATTCTGGTAGTTCTCACACCATCAAGGTAATGAATGTGACTGCTTTTCCACAATCACCTGTGGAAGCTCTTTTGTGGTTATTTTTTGCCTCAAGTTTGTCTTTTATCCCTCTTTGTAGTGCACACCTGAGTGAGTGAGTGAGTGAATGGGTGGGAGTAAGTGGTGTGTGTGTTAAGAGATGGAAATGTGCAATCAGAGAGGGCCAGAGAAAAATGAATAAAAACAACTTGTTTCTCTATAGCCTCACAACAAAAGTTCTTAGAACTTAACTACTTATAAGCTATGACTATTTCTTAAATGGATATTACTGAAAAGTTTATCTGGCACTACTTAAAGTCAGTGAAAGTAATAATTCATGTTTCTGCTTATTACAGGAAAACTAAGAAAATTCTATTTTAAAGCCTAACTTCACTAGCAGTTGTTATGAAGGGAAGGAGGAGGTTAGAGGTAATGAGTGGAACCTAAATATCTAAATACAGCCAGGAATGATACTGGAAGTGAACAGGCAATGAGCCATCCTTGAAAATTCTGAGTGAAAATGATTTTAACCTAAAATTCTAGCCCTAACTGAACTGTCAATCAAGTATGAAGGCATAATAAAGACGTTTTTATTCATGCAAAGTCTCAAAGAATTTACCTCCTTTAGTGGAAACCCTGGTGGTGTAGTGGTTAAGTGCTACGGCTGCTAACTAAAAGGTCGGCAGTTCAAATCCACAAGACGCTCCTTGGAAACTTTATGGGACAGTTCTACTCTGTCCTATAGGGTCACTACGAGTTGGAATTGACTTGATGGCCATGGGTTTGGGTTTTTTTTTTTTTAGTTGACATTATTAGTAGCTTATCCAAAACCTATTCTGCCCCTAAGGAAACCCTGATTTTGTAAGGAATCCATTCCCTCACCATTTAACTCAGGGAATAGTGTCCTCAGATGCAACTACAAAAGTAGATCATGGTAAACTCAAGTCAATCAAGGTCATTCCTGCCATCCTTGCATCCAGGGATTGGTTTAAGAATAAGCATGTGATTTAATTCTGACAATGAGATGGAACAATAAGATGCTAAAGGGCATCTGAGAAAGGTTTCCTTGCTCCTCTAAGTTAGAGTCACAGGAAATCCTGGTCCTTTTCCTCCTTTGGACATTGTCATTTCTGGATATGATGCTTGAAAGAGCTATCTTGCCACTATTCTGATGATGAAGCCAGCAGGGCAGGAGGGCAGAGCCTGGACAACTGCAAAGAAGAGGAGCTGTAGCCCACTGTTCCTCTAAGGGTTTTGTAAGGAGATTTTATATATGTATAGATATATAAATAAATACAATTATTGTTTGAGCCTGTGTGAGTCTAAGTGTTCTGTTACTTGCAATCAAATGCACAGAAAGAGGGTAAAAGCCTTCCTAAGATGATGGCAAAGCAGGTCCCAGGACAACAGCTGGGCAGCATGCCCAGAGAGCAACTGAGTTCAGAAGAGCAGAAGGATAGAGGACTCCAAGGAGGAATTATCCCAGTGGGTAAAAAAGTGGAACCACTGGTCCAACCATGTGGAAAAATGTCTAGAGAGGTATTTTACAAAGATACAGAAGGGCACAGGAGGATTCAACTCTAGACTCAAAGAAAACAAAGAAATGGAAAAAAATAGGGCAATTACTACCTTCAAGAAAATAGAAAAAGTTGTAAAAGAAAGAAAATGCACTGTCTTAATACTTGGCTCTTCAGTAAGCAATCCTTAACAAGGCAGTAATAGTGAAAACAATAAATACAAATAAAACAGAAAAAATGTGAAACAACTATATTGCAAAGATACAGGGAGGAAAGGGGCATATGAGAGGCTGAAGACTCCTATCTAACATAATGAGAAGTTAACCAATAATGTCTCAAGTTGATGGATCAAGAGACAGGAGAATAGGCATATTATTTAGAAATACGGAAGAAACAGATGAAAGAGTTAAAGTAGTTGCCTTGGGATCGGGATGGGGAGGGGCGTGGAGTGGAGGAAAGGAAGCAGAGGGCCACTGCTTGTTAGCACAAGTCTCTAAGCATCATTTTGTCTTTAAAATTAGGTTCGTGGATAAAAAATTTAAATCAATAAAATAAAATGCCGGAAAACTTAAGGGAAAGATATAATGCTCTCGGTTAGTACTCAGCTCACATGAAACGCCTAGTAGCACTGAGGCCTCCCGTTCCCTCTTGGTGGACTCTGTTCTGTCTATCCCACTGGGTTTTGGTTTCTAAGACTTCTCCTGCCACTTTGGAGACAGATTTGTAGATACCGAACTGCTCCTATGAGAGGACTTTCGATGTGTTTTTTGAGACCACATGGTGGTGAAAGGCAGGAATTGCCTAACATTAAATTTATCTGAGGTCCAGCGCTTTATTTGGGCCACTTGCGTGATTTCTTTTTCATGTCCATCCTTATTACTTTTCCAAAATAAAAGGTGGACTCTGGAGTGTATTGGATAATGGATTTTCCATGGTAGCTCATCAGTTGTGCAAATTGTCACTGGCCTGTGACTGGTAGCTTAAAAAAAACTACTACTGAATAAGGAAAAAATTATGCTAAAGCCTACTATGTTGTTGCAGCACTTGAACTTACTTCTAATGGCTGATGGTGTTCTTTTTCATGAAGTGTTTCATTTCTGTGAGACTAGTAATAACTGGAAAGGCCAGGAAAAATATCATTGATCCCACATACCACTTTACCTCTCTGAGACTGTGAAATTAAGATAAAACACACAAAGTGTCCAATAGAGTATATGGCCTTTGTTGTTGTACGCCGTGGAGTCGATATATGAATATTACATATAGCTACCCCATATAACAGAGTAGGACTGCCCAATAGGGTTTCCTAGGTTATAATCTTTATGGGAGCAGATTGCCAGGTTTTTTCTCCCAAGGAGTGGCTGGTGGGTTCAAACCATCAACCTTTTGGTTAATAGCTGAGTGCTTAACCATAGCACCACCAGGGCTAGTATATGGTCCTTGTCATTGTTGCTGTGTGCTGTCGAGTTGATTCCAACTCACAGCGACCCTATATGGCCCTTAATAGTAAGTAATAAATGTTTAATGATATTTTGGGAAATATATTGGGCATTTACAAAGATGACTAATAACACTTTGCACTCGACAGTCAGGGCATCTTTGCTGAGATGTATCATGCAAGAATGTTAGGCACTAGAGAAAAACCTAAGTGCCCTTCCACTCTCCTCTGTAGAAAAAGGGTTGCCATTCCAAACGGATAAGGAAGACTACAGAAGGACTCAGCGTGGCAAGGATGAACGCAAATTCCTAAGCTTAGAGAAAATGGATTTAGACAAACATTATTTATAACTGACATTCACAGCTTGTATTATTAATAAGTAGTAAGTTCATGTACCTATAAAAGTTAAATTACCAAACATGAAAACCAGCAGCATTCTAACTGTATTACTGCAGGAATATTTCATACCTGGATCCTGTTTGCTTTCCTCTTCATTGACCAAGAATCCCATGTGATAATTCCCCACCTGTTGTGAGTAACTTTTTTCTAGTTCACAAACTGGTGGATAATGGGTGACAAACAGGGTTAAGGATTTCACCTAAAGCAATAAAACATACAGTAAACATGAATTTATTTTTAAATTTTATTTTAATTGAAACTTTTCCCAACTTTCTATTTTGAAAGAATTCAAAAATTCATAAAAGTTGCAAGACTAGTACAATGAACATCCATACACTCTTTATTTAGAAAACCCATTAATATTTTGCATCTTTCCCCTTCCTCCCTCCCTCCCATCTCTACACACACACACACACACACCACACACACACACACATTCTTTCTGACCCATTTGAAAATTAGTTGCAGACATCATGACACGACACCCCTAGATACTTAAGCTTCAATCTTCTAAGAACAAAAGCATTCTCCTACCTAACCAGAATAAAATTATTACTCAAGAAAATTAACAGATATCATTACTACTATTATCTAATATGCAGTCCATATTTAAATTTCCTCAACTATTTCAATAATGTTCTTTATAGCATTTTTCAAAAATCAAGGATCATGCATTACTCTTAGTCCCTTAATCTAGAAGAGTTCCCAAAGCCTCTGCTTGTCTTTTCATGACGTTAATATTGTTGCAGTATCCAGGACAGTTGCTTTGTATAAAATCCCTCAATTTGGATTTGTCTGATTATTTCTTCATGATTAGATTCAGGCTAAACATTTTTTCTAGGAATATTATATACATATGTAGGTGATGTACCCTTTTCAGTACATTACATTAAGAGAAGCATGACGTCAATTTGACCCAGTACTGGTGATGCTTAGTTTAATTATTTGGCTTAAGTGTTATTGTTATTGTTGTTAGGTGTCATTGAGCTGATTCCGACTCATGGCAACCCTATGTACAGCAGAACGAAACACTGCCCGGTCCCGCACCATACTCATGATCGTTATTATGCTTGAGCCTACTGTTGCAGCCACTGTGTCAATCCATCTCGTTGAGGGTCCTCTTCTTTTTCCATGACCCTCTACTTTACCAAGCATAATGCCCTTCTCCAGGGACTGATCCCTCCTGATAACCTGTCCAAAGTATGTGAGACGAACTCTTGCCATCCTTGCTTCTAAGGAGCACTCTGGTTGTACTTCTTCCAAGGCAGATTTGTTCATTCTTCTGGCAGCCCATGGTACACTCAATATTCTTTGCCAACACCATAATTCAAAGGCATCGATTCTTCTTCAGTCTTCTGTATTCATTGACCAACTTTTGTATGCATATGAGGTGATTTAAAACACATGGCTTGCATCAGGCGCACCTTAGTCTACAAGGTGATATCTTTGCTTTTGAACACTTTAAAGAGATCTTTTGCAGCAGATTTGCGCAACGCAATGCGTCTTTTGATTTCTTAACTGCTGCTTCCATGGATGTTGATTGTGGATACAAGGAAAATGAAACCCTTGACAGCTTCAATCTTTTCTCCGTTTAGCATGGTGTTGCTTACTGGTCCAGTTGTGAGGATTTCTGTTTTCTTTATGTTGAGGTATAATCCATACTGAAGGCTGTAGTCTTTGATCTTCATAGGTAAATGCTTAAAGTCTTCTTCACTTTCAGCAAGCAAGGTTGTGTCATCTGCATAATGCAGGTTATTGATTAGTCTCCCTCAAATCCTCATGTCCCCTTCTTCATATAGTCCAGTTTTTTGGATTATTTGCTCAGCATACAGATTGAATAAGTATGGTGAAAGGATACAACTCTGAAACACATCTTTCCTGACTTTAAACCATACAGTATCCCCTTGTTCTATTCGAATGACTGCTTCTTGATCTATGTGCAGGTTCCTCATGAGCACAATTAAGTGTTCTGGAATTCCCATTCTTTGCAATGTTATTCATAATTCATTATGATCCACACAGTCAAATGCCTTTGCATTGTCAATAAAACACAGGTAAACATTTTTCTGGTATTTCCTGGTTTCAGCCAGGATCCATCTGACATCAGCAATATATCCCTTGTTCCACATCCTCTTCTGAACCCAGCTTGAATTTCTGACAGTTACCTGTCGATGTACTGCTGCAGCTGCTTTTGAATGATCGTCAGCAAAATTTTACTTGTGCATGATATTAATACACTGTTTGCTAATTTCCGCATTCTGTTGCATCTCCTTTCTTTGGAATAGGCATAAATATGGATCTCTTCAAGTTAGTTGGCCAGGTAAGCTGTCTTCCAAATTTCTAGGAATAGATGTGCACTTCCAGAGCTGCATCTGTTTGATGAAACATCTCAATTGGTATTCCATCAATTCCTGCAGCTTTTTATTTTGCCAATGCCTTCAATGCAGCTTGGACCTGTTCCTTCAGTACCATAGGTTCCTGATCATATGCTCCCTCTTGAAATGACTGAATGTCGACCAATTCTTTTTGGTATAGTGACTCTGTGTATTCCTTCCATCTTCTTTTGATACTTCCTGCGTCATTTAATATTTTCCCTGTAGAATCTTTCACTATTGCAACTCGAGGCTTGAATTTTTTCTTCAGTTCTTTCAGCTTGAGAAATGCCAAGTGTGTGCTTCCCGTCTGGTTTTCTAACTCCAGGTCTTTGCACATGTTATTAAAATACTTTACTATGTCTTCTCAAGTCACCCTTTGAAATCTTCTCCTCAGCTCTTTGACTTCATCATTTCTTCTGTTTGCTTTAGCACTTGACGTTCAAGAGCAAGTTTCAGAGTCTCTTCTGACATCCATTTTGGTCTTTTCTTTCTTTCCTGTCTTTTTAATGACCTCTTGCTTTCTTCATGAAGTCCTTGGTGTCATTCCACAACTTGGCTGGTCCTCAGTCATTAGCATTCAACGTGTCAAATCTATTCTTGAGATGGTCTCTGAATTCAGATGGGATATACTCAAGGTCGTACTCTGGCTCTTGTGGACTTGTTCTAACTTTCTTCAGCTTCAGCTTGAACTTGCATATGAGCAATTGATGGTCTGTTCTGCATTCGGCCCCTGGCCTTGTTCTGACTGATGATATTGAGCTTTTCCATTATCTCTATCGACAGATGGAGTGGATTTGATTCCTGTGTATCCCATCTGGTGAGGTCCACGTGTATAGTCGCTGTTTATGTTGTTGAAAAAAGGTATTTGCAATGAAGAAGTCGTTGGTCCTGCAAAATTCTATCATGCGATCTCCGGCATCGTTTCAATCATCGAGACCATATTTTCTAACTATTGATCCTTCTTTGTTTCCAACTTTCAAATTCGAATCACCAGCAATTATCAATGCATCTTGACTGCCTGTCTGATCAATTTCAGACTGCAGAAGTTGGTTGAAATCTTCAATTTCTTCATTCTAGCCTTAGCGGTTAGTGCATAAATTTGAATAATACTCGTATTAACTTGTTTACTTTGCAGGTGAATGGACATTATTCTATCATTGACAGTGTTGTACTTCAGGATAGATCTTGTAATGTTCTTTTTGCTGATGAATGCAACGCCATTTCTCTTCAAGTTGGCATTCTTGGCATAGTAGATCATATGACTCTCTGATTCAAAATGGCCAACACCAGTCCAATTCAGCTCACTAATGCCTAGTTTATCCATGTGTACGCATTCCATTTCATTTTTGAGAACTTCCAATTCTCCTAGATTCATATGTCATACATTCCACGTTCTGAATATTAATGGATGTTTGTAACTGTTTCTTCTCATTTTGAGTCATGTCACATCAGCAAATGAAGGTCCCGAAAGCTTGACTTCATCTATGTCATTAAAGTCGACTCTACTTTGAGGAGGCAGCTCTTCCCCAGTCATCTTTTGAGTGTCTTCCAACCTGGGGGGCTCATCTTTTGGCACTATATCAGATAATGTTCCACTGCTATTCATGAGATTTTCACTGGCCAATTTTTTCTGAAGGAGACTGCTAGGTCCTTCTTCCTAGTCTATCTCAGTCTGGAAGCTCTGCTGAAACCTTTCCACCAAGGATGACCCTGCTGGTATTTGAAATACCGGTGGCAAAGCTTCCAGTATCACAGCAACACACAAGCCATCACAGTACGACAAACTGACAGACACATAGTGATGTTACATCTTTTTGCAAATAAATAAAAATTCCTTTTTAAAGAAAAAAAAGTATACATTTTAAAGTAGGGAACATGTCATCATTAAGATACATAATTAAATAAATGCTTAGACTAAAAAAACCGAGGGCCACAAAAATTTAATGAAAAAGGAATTTTACTTTTGTGTTGTATGATTTTTGGAATGAAATAAAAGTAAAAAATATGTTTCATTAGCTATTTAAGGAAGAGATGAGACATGAAGGGGGAAGGAATGCGGAGTAAGGAAGACACAAAGAGTAACAGAATGAAAAAAAGAAAGGCCAAAGTAGAGACAAGACTTAGGGGCAGGAAAGACCAAATTGGACAGAAGGAGTAAATAAGAGGGGAGAGTTTGAAAGAAATATAGAGTTGTAACGTTTGACACAAAAATATTTCATACTGAGATGCTTAGATATGCACTCTGAAAAAAGCATAGTTACCAAATGCATACGTAACTCAAACAGATACAAAAGATGAGATCAAAGGCCTTATATTGAGATCTTTTAGGATACTGCTAAAACAGATCCCACAGGGTAAAAATGACATTATCTCCTTTTTGTTCTTTCCTCAAGGATTAGACTGTAAGTAGATTGTACCTTCTCTTGATTTAGAGCTTGCCAAGGATAATTAGATAGAGCCTTGGGTGAATATATTGCCATGGAGACCTTTCTCCTGCAGACCAGGTTTATTTTGCTTCAGCGAAGAAAGGAAAGACACATCAAAGATTTACAAACATAATTTAGGACCAATCTATCTGAGCTCAGAGTATAGGATAATAATGATCAAGTATAGGGATAGGGTCAATCATAACAATTAAAAATAATTTTGAATAATTGGATACTCAAGTCAGGAAAACTATTTGTGTAGTATGTACCAAAAGGGTATGCAGGGCACTTACATCTCTAATAAAATGCTCGAGCGTAGCGTAAGCAATGGCGATTCCATCATGGGTGCTCGTCCCTCTTCCCAATTCATCCAAGATAACCAAGGACTGTGATGTTGCTTTTCTTATTATTTCTGCTGTGTCTGTCAGTTCTTCCATAAATGTACTCTGTCCTTTATATATATTGTCTGCAGCTCCCATCCTACAAATAAGATGAAGATACTCTGATTTTTCCTCAGAACTTCCTTATTAGAAAGCCAAGCATCATTTTATGAACAATAAACATAAAAGACCTCCCCTAGGGGTCTACATATTTTGAGCCAATAACGGCTTAAATTATATTAAACAGAAGAAATACATGTTGGAAGTAATGAGTACCTAACATCAAACTGCACCTGGTAGAGAGCCTTTGGTACTGGACAGAGTTTCTGAAGAGTAGGGAAACCCTTGCCCATTGCTGTCGAGTTGATTCCAATTCATATTGACCCTACAGAACAGGGTAGAACTGCCCTATCTCAGTCATCTAGTGCTGCTATAACAGAAATACCACAAGCAGATAGCTTTAACAAAGAGAAATTTATTCTCTCACAGTCTAGTAGGCTAGAAATCCAAATTCGGGGTGTCAGCTCCAGAGGAAGGCTTTCTCTCTCAGTCAGCTCTGGAGGAAGGTCCTTCTCGTCAATCTTCCCCTGGACTAGGAGCTTCTCTGGGCAGGAACTCTGGGTCCAAAGGATGTGCTCTATTCCCGGCGCTGCTCTCTTGGTGGTATGAGGCCCCCAACTCTCTGCTTGCTTCCCTTTGTTAAGATAAAAGGTGGTGCAGGCCACATCCCAGGGAAACTCCTTTACACTGGAGCAGGAATGTGACCTTAGCAAGTGTGTTACATCTCACCCTAATCCTCTTTAACCACAGGCAGAGATTATGAATTATAACACATAGGAAAATCACAAAATGGAGGACAACCACACAATACTGGGGATCATGGTCTAACCAAGTTGACACATATTTTTGGGGACCCAATTCAATCCATGACATGCCCCATAGGGTTTCCAAGGAGCGGATGGTGGATCCGAACTGCTGACCATTTGGTTAGCAGCCAAGTTCTTAACTACTTCACCACCAGGGCTCAAGGGAAACGCTTTGTCCTGCTCTTTTCTGACAATTCCAAACCAAAGTTTTGTTATTCATTGGGCGAAACAAGTGTTGCTGTGTCTAAAAATCCATGAGCACTAGGATATTGTACAATTAAAGGTTTTCCCAGTGTTTCCTTAAGAAGATTCCACACTGACGTTGAAGTACCACATATGAAATAATTTACTTATGAGATGAAACTTTATTAGGACTAGAATTACAGATGTTTAATGCCCTCAGACAGCAGCTAATACAGATTCCCAAAGTGGACTTCATTGAACGCAAATTTCTATGGATGCCAAGAAGTACATCCAAAAGATTTTAGTGGATTTTTTACCTGTAAGTGTTCTTGTTGTTAGCTGCGGTTGAGTCGGCCCCCGACTGAAGGCAACCCCATGTGTTATAGAACAGAACTGCTCTATAGGGTTTTCTTGGCTGTAATCTTTATGGGAGCAATTTGCCAGGCCTTTTGTCCACGGAGTCACTGGGTGGGTTCGAACTGCCAACTTTTAAGTTAGCAGCCAATCACAAACTGCTTGTGCCACCAGGCCCCTTGTAAGTGTTCTTACAGGCTTTAGTATCCATCTTAGTCATCTAGTGCTGTTATAACAGAAATACCACAAGTAGATGGCTTTAACAAAGAGAAATTTATTCTCTCAAACAGTCTAGGAAGCCAGAAGTCCGAATTTAGGGTGCCAGCTCCATGGGAAGGCTTCCTCTCTCTGTCAGCTCTGGGGGAAGGTCCTTGTCATCAATCTTCCCTGGTCGACGAGCTTCTCAGCACAGAGAATCCGGGTCCAAAGGACGCACTGTTTGCCTGGCTCTTGTTTCTTGGTGGTATAAGGTCCCTCTGTCTCTCTGCTTGCTTCTCTCTTTTATATCTCAAAGGAGATTGACTTAAGACACAACCTAATCTTGTAGATTGAGTCCTGCCTCATTAACATAACTGCCTCTAATCCCACCTCATTAACATCATAGAGGTAGGATTTACAGCACATAGGAAAATCACATCAGATGACAAAACGGCGGACAATCACACAATACTGAGAATCATGGACTAGCCAAATTGACATAAATTTTGGGGGGACACAATTCAATCCATAACAATATCCTACTACACATTATGCATTTCTTAGTGGGGGATCTAGAACACAATGTTTTCCTAACTCATTTGACCATGGAGCATGACCACTTTCTCCTTGAGTACCTTGTGGCAATAATGTTCTACAGAACACATTTGGGGAAGATACCAATTTAGTACAAAAGGAAACTGAAAAAAACAAAGGGAATAACTAGGTAATACTCAAAGTCATGCTGCTAATTTAATAGCAAAATCTGGAATTCCGGTTTTCAACCCACTAGCCAGCTTTATGATTGCTAGTAACTATTTTCTCAGAAAAAATACCTTCATCAATTTAGTTTTGCTACAATAATTCACAAGTAGACCATACCCTTCACACTTGACCTACAGCAGCATAATGCACCTTTTAGTTCTGGAGAAACTCACGGTGAAATATTGAGCCTTAACCAACTCTGTGGTTGTAGCCCTCTAACAGTAACAGTAAGTCGTGTGTGATATTTTCCCCCACGGACTGGTAGAGCTTTATGAAAACTGTTCCAGTACCCAGCGGCATTTAGAAACTATAATAAATTACATCTATGGTGGGGCTAATAAGAAGGTTTTACTCAAAGCTCTGTCAATTTTATCTATTTTAAAATCAACAACTGCAAAACAATTTCTAAAATGTTGCTAACTCAGAAGCATTCTGGCTATCTTTTCAAAGTTCAAATACTATTATTTATCTCAATTTTCAAAATTTACTAGTATTTTCCCCAGTATAAAGCAAGAGGAAGATTAAACTTCTGTATTGCTAAACCACTCTTGAATTTTTTTATCATCACAATGTCTGACCCCCTTAACATTATTTGCCTTTATCCCTGGCAGGTTGTGAGCAGACATAAAGAAGAAATCTTTGGCTGATAATGAATACTCTGACAAGGCAAATATATGGGGGGAATCTTTAGTTCTCAAGAATTAAAGTAACAAGCACTGGATAAGATTTTTTTAATACAATAGTATGTTTAAATATTATACTTAAGAGCATTCTACAAACAGTTAATAGAACGTTCTTGCTGGGAATTCCAGGAATCATAGGATGCTCCTGGAGCCCTGGTGACACAGTGGTTAAAGTAATCGACTGCTAACCAAAAGGTAGGCGGTTTGAAACCACCAGCAGCTCCGTGAGAGAAAAATGTGGCAGTTTGCTTCCATAGAGATTTACAGCCTTGGAAACCCTACGGGGTCACTATGAGTAGGAATCCACTTGACGCCAGGGGGTTTGGTTTGGTTTGGTTCGGGATGCTTCTGGGGCAGATATTTTTAGGCAAATACACACATAGGAATATAGAACAATTAGCATATGACAAAAGTGACATTTCAAATCAGGAGGAAATGGGTAAATGATTAACAAAAGTTGCTAGTTAATTCATTATTTCAGAAAAAATAAAGATGTGTCCCTATTCCTGCATGGTTTAAAATCAGAAAAGGTGTGTGTCAGTGTTGTATCCTTTCACCATACTTATTCAATCTATATGCTGAGCAAATAATCTGAGAAGCTGGACTATATGAAGAAGAATGTGGCATCAGGACTAGAGGAAGACTCATTAACAACCTGTAATATGCACATAACACAACCTTGCTTGCTGAAAGTGAAGAAGACTTGAAGCACTTACTGATAAAGACCAAAGACTACAGCCTTCAGTATGGATTATACCTCAACATAAAGCAAACAAAAATCCTCACAACTGGACCAACAAGCAATATCATGGAAGTCAAGAAAATACTGAAGTTGTCAAGGATTTCATTTTACTTGGATTTACAATCAACACAGAAGCAGCAGCCAAGAAATCAAACGATGCACTGCATTGGGCAAATCTGCTGCAAAAGACCTCTTTGAAGTGTTAAAGAGCAAAGATGTCAGTTTGAGCACTGAGATGCACCTGACCCAAGCCATGGTATTTTCAATCGCCCCATATGATTGTGAAAGTTGGACAATGAATAAAGGAGATCAAAGAATTGATGCCTTTGAATTAAAGTGTTCATGAAGCATATTGAATATACCATGGACTGCCAGAAGAACAACAAACTATCCTGGAAGAAGTAAGAAGCCAGAATTCTCCTTAGAAGCGAGGATGGAGACACTTCGTCTCATGTACTTTGACATGTCATCTGGGGGACTAGTGCCTGGAGAAGGACATCATGCTTGCTAAAGAAGGTCAGCGAAAAGAGGAAAACCTCCAACGAGATGGACTGACACAGTGGCTGCAAGAATGGGCCAAACATAGCAATAATTGTGAGGATGGTGCAGGGCTAGGCAGTGTTTCGTTCTGTTGTACGTAAGGGTCACTGTGAGTCATAACTGACTTGACGGCACCTAACATATGGACTTAGAATTTAGTGTAAACGTAGAAATCATAAACACATCAGGAGGTATAGGTGAAATATAATCTGTGGGCAGTAGGTGGGTGGCTTTACATACCTGACACCAAAAACAGAAACTGGAAAGTAACAGTGTAAATGGAATTAACTACTTAAAATTCTCAACCTCTGAACAGCAAAAACATATCATGGAAAAGTTAAAAGACAGACTGTAAACTGAGAAAAATATTTCCAACACATGACAAAAGGTTAATATCCAGAAAATACAGAGTCTCAAACAGCAAAGCAAAATGGTAAATATTTCAACAGAAAGATAGGCAAAAAAGTTAAATCACAAAAGCAACAAACTCATCAAGATGTTCAACCTCATTAATATACAAACTTAAACAAGAGTGAAATGTGATTTTTCATCTGTCAATTAGCATGGATCTGTGAGCACCCTCTAAAACCTGAAAGTGGCCTCCAGCTGGCAGTCAACAAAAAGCTGAGGACCTTAGTCCTACAACTCAGGAGTTGAATTCTGCCAACAACCTGAATGAGCTTGGAAATGGGTCCATGCCCAGTTCACCTCCAGATGAGAACCTGCTCTGGCCAACGCTTTGCAGCCTTGCACAGGACCCAGCTAAGCGCTG